GGCTCTCATCTTCATTCAGTCTGTTGCGATAGTATGTATCATGTCGCCTCTGAAAAACTCTGTTGTAAATTTGTGAGAAAGGCAAATAGCATCTGAGTATTTACCATGAAAACCATTTTGACCATTTCACCTCCCAAGAGGTCTTAGGCATGCCCATGGGTTCTTAGTTTACATTTTGAGAACTGGCTACTCTAAAGTTTGCAATACATATTTTTAACTTATCACAGTGTATGTTTAAATGACATTATTGCATTTCAGTTATAAGACCCTCATCATCTAATATGGCCATGTAAGCCTTCCTGTCATTTGTGCTATGGCTACCATATAATGTACTTCTATTTTATTAATGCCACAATTTTTTATTTTTACTTTAAATAATGATCTTTTAAAGAAATTTGAAAGTTAGAAAGATTTTGTTTTTCTTAATAACACACATGCTTACCATTTCTGACATTCTTCATTTCTTTGTGTAGATCCAACTTTCCATCTGGTATAATTTCCTTTTCCCTGAAGAATTTCCTTTAACAATTCTCTTATTGCAGGTCTGCTGATGATGAATTCTTCTGGATTTTGTTTTTATGAAAACATTTTATTTCAGCTTCATTTTTTGAAGGATATTTTCACTAGCTACAGAATTTGAGGCTTATACTTTCTTCCAGCCCTTTTAAAATGTTGTTTGTCTTCTGGTCTGGGTAGTTTCTGACAATAATTCAGCACTGATTCTTATCTTTGTTCTTTTTTTCCAAATATGTCTTTTCTCTCTGATTTTCAAATTTTCTCTTTATCACTGGTTTTCAGCAATTTGATCATGAGCCTTGGAGTGGTGGTGGCAGCAGGGGTTTGTGTGTGTGTGCATGTGTGTGTGTGTATTTATCTTCTTGGAGTTTGTAGAGCTTTTTGACCTAGGTATTTATAGTTTTCAGAAAATTTGGAAAACATTCGGCCATTATTTCCTCAAATATTTTTGTCCTTCTCCTTTTTTTTATGACACTGCAAAACCTTAATATTAGAACCTTTGCTGTTGTACCATAGGTTACCAAGGTGCTTTTCAATTTCTTTTTTAGTTAAAAAAAAATTTCTAGGCTCACCAATCTTTACTACTACAATTTCTAATATGCTGTGAATCTCAAGTAGTGAAGTTGTACAAGTATGATATTGTATGTTTTATCCCTGAAGTTCATTTGGTTCTTCTTTAGTCTTCCATTTCTCTCTTCTCAATGTCCTTGTATCAAATCCTTTAATGCAGTTTACTAGTTCCATCATCTCTGCCATTTCTAAGCCTCCTTCCATTGACTGAGTTTTCTTTAGGGGTTACATTTTTGTGCTCCTTATTACGTCTGGCCATTTTTGACTGGATGCTGGACATTGTGATGTTACATATTTGAGTGTCTTGATGTTGTAAGGTAGTTACTTGTGGATTAGCTTGGTATCTTTGAGACCTGTTTTCAAGCTTTGCTAGAGTGAGTCTTCATTACCTTCACTCCAGGCATAGTTAAGCCCTACCTCTAATGTATGGCCCCTCTGGTGTCTCCCCTGAATGCTCCAGCTGGTTGCCAGTGACCCTCCAATCTAGTTAGTTTGTGTTCATAATGTATCTCCACCCTCTGTCAGTTCTAGAAATTGTTCAGCTAACAGCTCTGCCATCGCTCTTTGCCAGGGTTTGTGGAGTGTTCCTTGATGCCTGTACAGCCTATTCTCAGCAAAGACAAAGATCCCCATGTAGATTTCTGGATCTCTATGTCTGCATAGCTCACTTTATTCCACAAACCTGCTTTACAGTTTCTAGCTTTCTCAGCCTTCCCGAGTTCTGATCACTTTCTCAACTCACAAAGGCTGCCAGGCTCTGTTCCGTTTTCATGTTTTTTCTCATTGTCTGAAAATTGCCTTTGGGTACAATGCCTTGACAATCAGAGGGCTCACCTTATTTGTTTCCGTTCTTTCAAGGATCAGAGTCTTATGATACCTGTTGTCTGAGGTCTGAATGCAGTTATTTCATATATTTTGTCTAGGTTTTTAGATATAAGAAGCTAAGTCTGGTTTTTATTATTCTCTCACGGTTGGAGGTAGAAGTCAGTTTTCAGTTTTTAAGTATTTTTTAGTTCATGACAATCTTGGTTTTCTTGACCATTAATGGCCCAAAATGCATGACAGTGGAATACTTTGGTGAAACCATCCCCACGTGATGTCTTTTATTCAGTCTTCCTGAATGACGCACGAGATGGCTGGTAGAACTAGAACTTCAGTTGTGGCTGTAAAATATTATCTCTCCATATGAAACTGACTGCCGTACATGAGGAGTTCTACTTCTGTGATCTCTAAACCACTATGCTTTATGCTTTAGATCCCAGATTCTGAGACAAATCTCACTTCTAATTAAAAAACAAATCACCAGGTGCTTTTGTAAACTATATTTGTTTTTCTCAGTCCACATATCTCATCTGGTGTATAAACCCTTGCATCTTCAGATATCACCCCCGGAGCAGATGACTTACGGTTCAAACATGGGTTGAGATGTCTCAAGATGCCAATATAACAAATGCTGGGAAAAGTCAGATGGCATTCTACACGTGAAATTCCATGGTTGAAGGATGAAGTGAGCTACTGGTTTCTGGATCTCTTATTGTCAAGAATTAAGCAGGCTGGCCAGGATGGCTCATGCCTGTAATCCCAGCACTTTGGGAAGTTGAGGCGGGAGATCACTTGTGGCCAGAGTTTGAGACCAGCCTGGGCAACATAATGAAGTCTGCTCATCTCTACTAAAATAAATAAATAAAATTAGCCAGGCATGGTGGTGTGTGTTTGTAGCTCCAGCTACTTGGGAGGATTGCTTGAGCCTAGGAGTTCAAGGCTGCAGTGGGCTGTGATCATGTCAATGCATTCCAGCCTGGGCAACACAGCAAGATTCTGTCTCTAAAAATAAAATAAACCAGTCCAGCGTGGTGGTGGCTCATACCTGTAATTCCAGCACTTTGGGAGGCCGAGGCAGGTGGATCACGAGGTCAGGAGATTGAGACCATCCTGGCTAACAAGGTGAAACCCTGACTCTACTAAAAATACAGAAAAATTAGCCGGGTATGGTGGTGGGCACCTGTAGTCCCAGCTACTCGGGAGGCTGAGGCAGAAGAATGGCGTGAACCTGGGAGGTGGAGCTTGCAGTGAGCCGAGATCGCACCACTGCACTCGAGTCTGGGTGACAGAGCGAGACTCCGTCTAAAAGTAAAATAAAATAAAGTAAAATAAAATAAAATAAAATAAAATAAAATAAAGTAGGAGTGGTCTATCACCACTTGAAGTTTCTTGCTAGAAGTAAACCAGATTATATATTGATCTGACATGGGGAAGGGGTTGAAACTGAAGATAAACTTAAGGACCCTAAGGTCTCAGTACTTTAAATTTCCTTTTTCAAAAAATATTAGTTAAGTTTCAAATTGAAGCAAAGAACTGCAAGTGGTGACTAAGGCTTTTGTTTTCGCCATCAGTCTGTAAGTTTGGCCAGTATAACATGGTTGGGGGCTGTAGGAAGAAAGAATTTAGCAGAAAGAGAACTAGGGTTGTATAAGCACAGGGCCATGGGTGGATATTTTATCATATGATCTGTGGGGATTGTGACTTGAGCACAATTCTACAGATAGATTATTTTGTAGTTGGGTACCAAAGTCCTCAAGACATAGCTATTTTAGTAGTCACTAAAGAATTTTTATTTTTCTGAGCAGTGCATAGAATTGGATCTGATTGTATTTTTCCTTTTTAGTAAACAAGTCCATAGACATTAACCCCAAAACAGAATGACATTTAAATGCTAAAAGATATGTTACGGTCTGTGGCATCCTTGGCTTTCTGGAATTATAATGATCAAAAGTTTCAGACAATGAAACTGGTAAAAAGAATGAAGTAGATCAGTAGATCTGTGTGTTCTAACAGGGGGAGTGGCCCAGAAAATATACTTAAGTTAAAAAAAAAAAAAGCATGATCTACAATGATATATACAATGATTAGGATAATTCAATTTTTGTATTAAAAAGCTTTATATACAGGTATAGATGGTATATAGGTAGAGGTATATAAAATATAAATAATACATATGTTGGTATATGAATAGGAAAAATCTGGAAAGATACAACTATCAATGAACTATTTAGTGGCTACTTCTGAGGAGTTCACCTTGCGAGGAGGAAGGATATTTATCTTTTACATTATCTACTTCTCTGAGGTAGCAATTTAAAAAGTTAAGCTCTATTGCACACTTTCTATGTGCCCGACACTGTGCTAAGCCTTCTAAATACTTAGCATTGTCTTAGCCCTCATAACCCCATGGCTTCCCTAGGATTTCTATTATATGTTGGAGGTGCTTACAGGTTGCAGGTTGCCAGGAAAGGAGATCCAGGTACTTGCCTTGAGCTGTGTTTGCATATGAACCACACCATTGTTATCCAGGAGTGTTTATTTAGGATGACTTGTGGGGGCAGGGGTGGGGAGTTGCCAAGCAATCCCCTGCTGTTACCACTGCTCACAACAGTCCAAAGAAGGAAGTGCTATTATTATTCCCTATTATTTCTAAGTGAAGTAACCGAGGCACAGAGAGGTTAAGCAATTTGCCCAATGTCACATAGCTAGTAAATAGGTGGACTCACCTTATTTGTTTCTCTTTTCTCATGGCTCAGAGTCCTGTGCTGTCCATTGTCCAATGTCTAAAATCAGTAGTCTAGATTTTTAGATATTAGAGGCTAAGTCTAGTTTTTACTATATCATGGTTTGAGACGGAAATCTATTTATTTATTTATTTTTTAGACAGAGTCTCTCTGTAGCCCAGGCTGGAGTGCAGTGGCACGATCTCAGCTCACTGCAATCTATCTGGCCCCCACCCCTGCCACTGGGTTCAAGCAATTCTCCTGCCTCAGCCTCCTGAGTAGATGAGATTACAGGTGCGTGCCACAACAGCTAGCTAATTTTTGTATTTTTAGTAGAGACGGCATTTCGTCTAGTTGGCTAGGCTGGTCTCGAACTCCTGACCTCAAGTGAGAATTCTATGTTGAATCCCTATCCGTTAAGATGCATAGTTTAGGCTCCTAATTTGAATTTGTTACAACAAGACAATATTACTCTCGTAATTTTTATAAAAATTCAAAAGTTCAAATGGCCAATAAAAATGTGATCTTAATACATTCTAGAGACACGGAGATTAAAAAAAAACTTAGTTGGACTATATTATCAATGGTGAATGTGGATAACAAATGAGAACAAGCATCTAACGTGTTCGGAGCTGTATGTTTCACCAGAGATTAATTTATGTGACTGCCTTATTTTACTTTTCATTTTTTAACAGGAGAGATTTACACATAGTGTTTTGGCATCATGGAACGCGTAGGTTGTACTTTAACGTCAACTTACGCCCACCCTAGACCAACACCAACCAACTTTCTACCAGCCATCAGTACCATGGCCTCAAGCTACAGGGACCGCTTTCCCCACTCCAATTTGACCCATAGCCTGAGCCTTCCTTGGAGACCCAGCACATACTACAAAGTGGCCTCCAGTTACCCAAGCGTGGCCCCGTACTGCACCAGATCACAGAGGGTGTCCGAGAATGCCATGCTTCCCTTTGTTTCCAACAGAACTACCTCCTTCACAAGATACACGCCAGACGACTGGTACAGGTCCAATTTAACCAACTATCAAGAGTCCAACACTTCCCGACATAATTCGGAGAAACTAAGAGTAGATACATCTCGCCTGATTCAAGACAAATATCAACAAACAAGAAAAACCCAGGCAGACACAACCCAAAATCTGGGAGAACGTGTCAATGACATAGGGTTTTGGAAATCTGAAATCATTCATGAGTTGGATGAAATGATTGGAGAGACAAATGCACTTATTGATGTGAAGAAAAGACTAGAGCGGGCTTTGATGGAGACTGAAGCCCCTCTTCAGGTAAGACCTTATGATAGAAGGCACTGCAGTTTTATGATTGCAACCCACTGGTTGAGTTACTGTGGTTATTTATATATTGAATTATGTTTTAATTCTCTGTAGAAGCCAACCCCCATCAATAAATCTGCGACTGGTTTCAGCAATGGCAAAACCACTGTCTATTTTTTTTTATGCGTTATACACTGTAAGAACAACCACTTTAAGAAATAATTCTGAATGCAAAGCAAAGAAGGCCAATTACAGAGACACCATTAGGATACACAATGTTTTGAGGTGAACATGCCATCTGTATTCTGCCATTCTCACATTGCTATAAAGAAATACCTGAGGCTCAGTAATTTATAAAGAAAAGAGGTTTAATTGGCACCTGGTTCTACAGGCTGTACAGGAAACAGTGGCTTCTGCTTCTGGGGAGCCCTCAGGAAGCTTCCAATCACGGTGGAAGGCAAAGGAGGAGCAGGTATCTTGAAGGGTCCAGGGACAAGAGAGAAAGGGGGAAGGTGCCACACACTTTTAAACAACCAGATCTCCAGAGAACTCATTCACTATCCTGAGAACAGCGCCGAGTGGATGGTGCTAAACCATTCATGAGGGATCTACCCCCACGATCCAATCACCTCCCACCAGGCCCCACTCCCAACATTGGGGATTACAATTTGAATTGAGATTTGTGCAGGGACACAGATCCAAACCATATTACCATCTTACGTCTTAAATAGGCTGCTTCATCACTGCTGTCCCTAAATTAAAATAAACAATATTTGATTATTTATACAACCAAAAACTTTATTTTACAACCAAAACTTTATTTATACAACCAAAAACTTAATTTTTTTAGTCTGTATCATGAAACGCCTCCTATGTATATGTTATGATTCCCTTTCAAGACGTAGTGACATCATCAAATGAGCCCATCTTAGGACATGGAATTTGCTTGACTAAGTAGAAAAATGGGGCTGAGATTAGGCCAGTTGCCATAGTAATGTAGGGAGCATCTCAGTTGGTTACTGGCCTCTGACCAGGCTTCTGAATGGGCTCAAGTCACCTCTAACCCTCAGGCTATGCGATGGGCCCTCCAACCCCTCTCCACCCTCCTCCATTGAAAGAAGACATTCCATGTTTGAAGATGTGCAAATTATAGAAATTATTTTAGAAGTGTACATTTTGATGAGCACAGCTAGCACCATTTTTCTTCATGTTTGCATGACTTACTCCCATGCGATGAGCACTTCCCGTAGGTCTCTACTATGGCGCCGGTAGTAGAAGAGTTTAGAGAATCAAGGAACTGGAAGTCTGGTGGGTGGAGGAGTTTCTTGGGGCACCCTGCGCACTGTCACTTCCTATTGCAACCCCTCCCCACTATACAGAAACACACACAGAGGCACACAATCCCCAGGAATCCTGAGAACAGTTGATAGTTCACTAATGACCTTTTTGAATTAGTTCATCATAAAATTTTGTTTAGAATCAGAAGGGCTTCTACACCTTCCCTGAGCCTCAGATTCCTCTGAAATATTGATTTATTCTACAGTTCATCCTACCCCCGACTGCCTTTAAGAATTGAAAATATCCTTAAAATGATAGCTACTTTCTTAATTTCCAGTGGAGATTCAGTTTCTTCTCTTAGTAACCCTTTCAGTGATGACTACTTTCAGAAAGATGGTTCTAATTGGAATTTTTTCTGCAGCTTTTGTCCAGATGTTCTTGTGTGTTTGAAAATTTATTGTCAACACAGTATTGGAAAGTCCTTTTTATAATGAGTCACATGAACAGATAAGCTTCCAAAGAGAAAATACAGGCAATCAACAAATATAAGAAAAAATGTTAAGGCTTAATGATAAAATACAAATTAGATCAATGAAATAACTACCTTTGGCCTATCAAACTTGCAATAATGAAAATGCGTAACATTTACAGCTGCCATAGGAGCAGAAAATGGACACTTTCATATATTACTGGTGGGGCTATGGATTGGTAGAAATTTCCTGGAAAGCAGTTTGGTAATATATATTAGGATAAACAGAGTTCCCCTCTACCCTTTAATTCTTCTTCTGGTAAGTGATACTATTAAACAATTAGAGATTCGCTCAAAGATTTTGTTCAATGATAGTATATCTGGATTATAGTATACATACCATTATATTTTATGCTTTTAAAAATTTAATATTATTTGGGAGTCCTATGTGATGAAATAGTCTTTGAAAAAAGCATTTTAACTGCTGCATAATGTTCTTTCATACATAATTTATTGTTAGAAATGTAAGCTGTTTTCCATTAGAGCCACTAGCATACTTTATCTCAAAGAATATTTCATGATTTGGGTCTACTATTTAATGTCAATACTAAAAAGCATAATATAAAGCTGTAAGAACATTATAACCTCTATCTTGTTAAAACAAACAAACAAACAAAGTAGTAATAGGAGTATGGCTAAATCATATTTTCTACTTTTCTGTATTTTTTCTCTTTGGTGAGTAAAGGCATATTATTCTGATAATTGGGAAAACAATAAATTACACTTTAAAAATAATCACTGGAACTTTTGGCAACACAAATATTTTGATGTTTTTAGAGATAATCATTCATTTCTACCTATTCTTCTCAGTAGAAAATGTTTAGAAATAATATCTTGAAGACTTGTGTCTCATGTTATTGAACTGTCTCACCTGAAGAAACTAATGCGAACTAATGCCCTCAGATGCTAATTTGTGGGGATCAAGTAAATGCCATCTGCTTCGTTTTGTCAAATTTCCAAATTAGGAATATTTTCAAACTATTTTGAAGAGCTACCTCTTTAACTTTGAACTAGTAGCAGAGATTCATTTAGTTGTTACAGTCTGTTTCAGGCTAGATTTTTACAAAAGGGCTAGAAAAGTTGGTATTGGAAGTATCTATTGCCTTATTTTTGAAACAAATTATTAGAGCTGCTAGTCACGGATTGTCAGTTTTTATTAGTGCTTTCCATTATCTGTGTATCTGTAGGTAGCCCGGGAATGTCTATTTCATCGAGAAAAGAGAATGGGAATCGATCTAGTTCACGATGAAGTCGAAACACAACTGCTGACGGTAAATATGGGGGAAATGCATCAGTCACAAGCAGCTTAGTTGTAAATGTGTGTTGAATATGTAGAAGTAAAAAAGGATGTTACATAAAATGACTTATAAGTAAAGCAGTATCATATCAGATGTTGACAGCATTTAGCAAAGACATGTTTTTCTTGGTTATAATATATATTCATTGAGAATATGAAAAATGCAAACAAGAGTAAATAAAGATAAAAATCACTTGAAGCTCTATTAGACAGAAACCACTATTAATTTTGGAGTATTTCAGTTTTTTTATTAATCATGCTTTTTTTCCTACCATTCCGTTGCATCTTTTTATTAATCATTCTTAGATAGGCACCACCTAACTCATACAATGATGCTCAGATATGTCTTCAAGACTCGAATCATTGTATTTATAAATTTGAATAGTGTATACTCATCTAAAATCATATTGGGGTAATTTTTACCATATCATTAGATATGCCTTTTTTTTTTTTTTTTTTTTTTTAAAGACGGAGTCTTGCTCTTATTGCCCAGTCTGGAGTGTGATGGCATGATCTCAGCTCACTGCAACCTCCGCCTCCGAGGTTCAAGCGATTCTCCTGCCTAGCCTCCCAAGTAGCTGGGATTGCAGGCACCTGCCACCATGTCTGGCTAATTTATATATTTTTAGTAGAGATGGGATTTCACCATGTTGGCCAGGCTGGTCTTGAACTCCCGACCTCATGATCTGCCTGCCTCAGCCTCCCAAAGTGCTGGGATTACAGACGTGAGCCACCACACCCGGCCTAGATATTCTTTTAAGACATGATTTTTAATGGCAATTCAGTGTTCTACAATGTAAAGGTGCTATCTTTTTTTTTTTCCAATCAATCCTCTCTTATATAGTTAGACTGTTTCCCTATTCCACTCCTTTGTTTTCCTATTTTAATAGCACGGCAGTATACAAAAATATTATTGATAACTGTAGGTACTTCTGATTGTTTCCTTAGAATATATTTTGGAAAGTGTAATTGATATGCCAAAGATTCTATGCATTTGAAAGCTTTTGATATATAGCCAAATTGCCATCCAGAAACTCACAGTTGCATCTGCACTACTCTGCTGATTCTCACGCTAATCTGTCTTCCACCTTCCACCAATTAAATCTAGTTTAGTTCTAATTTCTCTGATCTTTACTTCTCAGACTTGTTACCACAGATCTCCATCATTTCTTAAGACTTCAGGGATCATGTACCTGGAGCCCTTCCCAATCTCTTTTTTCAGCCCAGGCACTTTATAAAGCATTAGTTCTGCATTCCTAAGTACTTGCCAAACATTTTTTTAGTTTGGTAACTTTTTTTTTTTTTTTTTTTTTTCACTTTCATTAAGCCTGTTTAGCCTATTGCCTGTCCCTTTCTATTGATGGTACCAGTGTTCCTTCATCACGATGGCTTGCTGCCTGTTGTCTCCCAAACTCCTTTCATCAATTTCCAGCTCTTTAAAAAAAGTATCTGGTTAATAGGAAATTCCAAAGCACCTTTCCTTCCCCAAGTTTCCCTTGGATCTGTCCTATACATTCTCACGAGTTTCACCCTCTGCTACAAATTCTTCCTTGACTCCCTAATTTCTGCAGGAGAAAAACCCACTAAGGCCTCCCTTGACTGACTCCCTTATTTCTCAGCTTCACTTCCGTCTGAATCACAGAATTTCCACTGCAGTGAATCCATCTTCTCTGTCCCTGCACAAGCTTTGCAGTTTCCTACCTCTTTGCCTTTTTTTAAATTGGTCCTTGGTGAGAATTGAGTCCTTGGTAGGAAAGTAAGTATGACAAGGTAGCAGCCCAGTCCTCAGAGTAATTTTATCCCCACATGGCATCAACGCTCTGCTTTAACATCACTTAAATTTTCTTAGTGACCCATAACATTAAAGATGACAAGCAGACTTTTTTTCTTTGCTCTCTTCTTTCCTCTACTGTCTGCTTCTCTGAGAGAACTCTGAGTTGAAATAATATACTCAGGAAAGCTTTGGCTACTACCGAAAGGTTTTGTAAATCTACTGTAAAAGTTACTGTCCCTGTGGCTGGACAGGAGTGGTTAGAAATAGAACATTCTGCACTGGACTGTGATCATGCCAATGCATTCCAGCCTGGGCAACACAGCAAGATTCTGCCTCTAAAAATAAACCAGTCTGGCGTGGTGGCTCAAGCCTGTAATCCCAGCACTTTGGGAGGCCGAAATGGGCAGATCACGAGGTCAGGAGATCAAGACCATCCTGGCTAACACGGTGAAAACCCGTCTCTACTAAAAAAAACACAAAAAACTAGCCGGGCATGGTGGCGGGCGCCTGTAGTCCCAGCTACTCAGGAGGTTGAGGCAGGAGAATGGCGTAAACCTGGGAGGCGGAGCTTGCAGTGAGCTGAGATTCGGCCACTGCACTCCAGCCTGGGCAACAGAGTGAGACTCCATCTCAAAAAAAAAAAAAAAAAAAGAGATAGAACATTCTGAATGAAATAGTTTTGCAGTGATTGGTCTCCACTCTTCTCTTTCTTCTTTCCCAGCCTTTGATGAATCTCACAAACCTTAAAATAATCTGTCATCTACTTTGCCATCCTAACTGGATAGGAATTTACCATCGTCTCTCCCTTGGCCTTTTGTTCTCACTAATCCTGAGATGTTCTGTATGAAATAAATTATAAGGCAGTTCTAACAGCTGAACTTCATCAGCTTGCCCACAAACACACTATGATATTTCCAACAGATATTTTGTTGGTACTTGGCTACATTTAGTGTTTCCATTACTTGAGTAGCGGCTCTCAAACCTAGCTACACGTTAGAATCACTTGGCAAAGGTTTTAAAAATATCAATGGCTGGGTCCCACACCGAGAGATGCTGATTCAAATCTGCCGTGGGGACTAGGCATTGATCTTTTTAAAATATCCCCCAACTAATCTTAATGACTAGGCAGAGTTAAGAACAAGTGTCTCAGAAACTCAAAATACTGCTGAAAGAAATTAAAGATGATCTAAATAAATGGGCATATCATGTCTATGGATGGGAATATCCATAAACGTGGATGTTCGTGTTAAGATGGCAATATTTCTCAACTTGATTCATAGACTCAGCACAATTCCTGTCAAAATCCCAGCTGACTTCTTTGTAAAAATTGGTGAACTGATCCTAAAATTCATATAGAAATTCAAAGGATAGCGAATAGCCGAAATAATATTGAAAAAGAAGAAAGTTGGAGGACTCACACCTCCTGATTTCAACACTTACTGTAAAGCTGCAATGTGTAAGACAGTGTAGTACCTGCAAAATAATAGACACAATTTGAGAGTTGAGAAATAAACCACCACATTTACCATCTATTGATCTTTGACAATGGTGCCAAGGCAATGCAATGGCAAGAGTGTCTTCAACAAATGGTATTTGGACAACTGGATGTCCACATGAAAAAGAATGAAGTTGGATTCCTACACCACAACATACAAAATAGTTAAGTCAAAAGGGATCAAAGACCTACACATAAGAGCTAAAACTGTAAGACTTTTAGAAAAGAACATAGGCATGAATATTCATGACCTTGGAATAAGCAACAGTTTTTTAGATGTGATATCAAAAGCACAAACAACACAAGGAAAAGCAGATAAACTGGACATCATCAAAATTAAAAATGTGGTATGTTTTGAAGAACATTAGCAACAAAGTGAAAAGACTTGTGTCTAGAATATATAAATAATTCTCACAATTAAAAAAAAAATCAACCCAATTAAAAATGGGCAAAGATCTCACAATGAAATATGATGGATAGTTATAATAGAAAATAGAGAAAATAACAAGTTGGCTGGAATGTGGGAGGAATTAGAACCCTCATACATTGCTGATGGGAGTGCAAAATGAGGCAGATCCTTTGGAAAATGGTTAAGCATGAATGACCCTGTATGATCCATAGGATCCAGTAGTTCTACTCCCAAGCGTCAGCCCAGGAGAAAAGAAAGCATATGCCCAAACAAAAATTTGTGCACGGATATTTATAACACCATTATTCATAGCAGCCAAACAGTAGAAACAACCCAAATGTCTATCAACTGATGAATGGATAAGTAAAATGTAAGATAGCCGTACAATAGGTTATTCTGCCAAAAAAACAAGTAATGACGTGCAGATCCGTTGCTATAACATGGATGAATATTGAAAACATTATGCTGCATGAAAGAAACCAATCACAAAGGGCCACATATGGTAATTCCATTTATATGAAATTTCCAGAATAGGGAAATCTATAGAGACTATAAGTAGATTTGTGGTTGCTTATTATGAAAGGAGACTTGGGGGATTGGAAATTGTGGGTGACAGCTAATGGGCACAGGATTCATGATTTCTTTGGAAGGTGATGGAAATGTTTTAAATTTGGTTCCGGTGATGATTATACAACTCTGTGAATATACTAAAAGTCATCAAACTGCACATTTTAAACAAGTGAATTATATGGTCTATGAATTATATCTCAACAAAGCTGTTTCTTAAAAACAAGAACCACTGCATTAGAGGTTTCTGGTTTCTAGGTCAGTAGCGGGGGGGGCTTTATCTCAAAAAACCTGAATGTGCAATTAGAGTAATGGTTCATGAATTGAGAGAGGTGCTTCGGTCATTGCCAATCAATTCAAGTAGTGAATGTATTCTGTGGCTTACTCAAGGTAGTGACATTGGCATATGTTTTATTTTTTTACCAAAATAGGTCTTAAGTTTTAGAATAATTAAATGTGTATTAGCCAAGGAAAGAAGTAGCCTTAAAAGGCCTACTTTTGAAAAACATGGATGCAATGAAATATTTTCTTACGAATTCTATTGAATTCTGTTGGCTATTATATTCCGTCAGTGATAGTTGGTAAATTCTTACAGAATGGCTTCTGTTGGGGAGTCAATCATGCTACTATCTTCTTAGCACTCCCAGACCGTGCTGACTCCTTGGACTTCGGAGCCAAACGAATCTGCAAAGTCATCTACCCTGCAGCCTGCTCTGGTCCGGCTCTGGGATGGGGGCTGAGACAGCTGCTCAGAACTCAGGCTGAGGCTCTGGGCCTGGCCCCAGCTGGCCAGTTTCCTTCCCACAAGAGGCTTTTCCTTCCTCCGTGTTGCAGAAGCAGAAAGCAAAAATACTCCAGCCTCAGAGGTTTGTTGAGAATGCAGTCAATGAGTTCCAGAGATGGCAGACCTGCTGCTGGAGAGATGTTTCAGCATTTCAGCCCAGTCCAGCCCAAGGACAGGACTGAATAGAAACCCTGCAACCAGCACGCAGCCCAGTCCAGCCCAAGGGGCTTCTCCTCTAAGACAGGACTGAATAGCAATCAGCACGGAAAGAGGATCTGGGTGGGCTCTGACCCTCAGCAATAAGAACTACCCTCCTCACCTAGGTTTCTGCCTCTAAGCAGGTTGTGGGACCAGAAGCTTCTCACCAGCAGCTTCTCACCAGCAGCCATGCCAGAAAGGGTAGCTGAAAGGTCACCTTGGCCGAACTCAGGCACAAATACTGAGAATGCAGATCTCTAATGAAAGGAAACGCCTCTTCCCACTAAACTCAAGGATAAGTGAGAAGACAAGAATATTTGGTGAATCTATCATTAAAAAGCATTGTATATGGAAACGAAATGTCTGCACCTACACGTGGTATTCGCTTATTAGCTAGATTCAATTCAGGCTTGCAGCTTGATTTTGAAGATTTGATTTCAGTAGCCCGTTCACCTGTGAGGCTGGCAGTTTACCCACTTTCCCAAAACTTAAAAAGACTCAGTTAACACAGGTAAATAGAACCACATACAAAGCCTCAACCTGTGGGAGCAGGGTCTGAGTTTAACAAGGACATCCGAGTAATGATTTTATATCCACAATTCAGACCACAGCGCAGGGTCAGCACTCGTCCCTATTTGTGGCTGAAACTCATAATGTTCCTGTGACGTGGTGCATATTCCTTAGCTGAGAGTACAGCAGAGCCCACATCTTACATGAGGATTCAGTTCTAAAGTCATGAAAATCACCCATGTTACAAAATTACGAGACCTAATGCTTACTGAGCACTTAGCATGTGCTGGGCACATAATTATCTACCCAACAGCCTGGAAAGATGGGTATTATTACCATTAGTTCATAACTTGCCTCTGGTCAGGTTTAGCGAGTAGCAAAGATGTTCGAACGGGGGCTGTCTGATGCTGAAGCCTATGGCTTTTGTGAACATTTTAATTTTGTAAAAAATGTGTATGTATTCATGGGGTACAAGTGCAGTTTTGCTTCATTGATATATTGCACTGTGGTGAAATCGGGACCTTCAGAGCATCTATCACTGGAGCAACGCACATTGTAACCACCAAGCAACCTCTCAACATCCCACTCTCCTCCCTCCCCTCCTTCCAGTCCCACTGTTCATCATTGCACACTCTCAAGGCATGTGTTTTCAACCGCTGTTCCAGTCAAGACCTGGCAGTGTACACGAGCAGGGATTTTCACTTGAGGTGATGGGAAGTAAAAGGCTTTGAAGCCTCTATTCCACCTCCCCAAGTCCCACCTCCCAAGAGATGAACTGTAACAACAGATGCTTCATGAATGTTTCAGCTGCTCAAATAGTAGGATGCATTCAAGGTTCTTCAAGCAACTGGACATGATTCCATGTCTTGTTTTCATCCGAAGCCCCACAAAAGGAACTGCATTTTAATCACTTTGGCCATTGCAATCTGAGAATCTCAATGAAGTCAGTGTGACCCTGTAACTCATGGGGCCTGTAATTTCTCCCTAAGTCCAGGATCTGGAAATGTTGGACCCACCTTCCAGGGTCCTAAATGTGCATTTCACTTCCTTAGGTGTGAGGCAGCAGCCAGAGATCTAGTTAGATGAAGGCTCTTCCTACGCTTCTGCTTTCTGTGTGTATCCACCACCTTCTTGCAAACTTTCTTCTCATGGGCAGGTGAGGGAAAGGTTTGTCCTGCTTTTGCTCTACTGTAGTATTTCAAGGCCACCTCCATGTATGGGTACAGATGGATGGATAAGTTAGCACTGGGGACAGTGCCAGAGACCTTTGGCTTTGGGCTTTTTGTATTCTCATGAACCCTTCTGCTCCCAACCATCTGACATTCATCATATGACATTATTTAAATTCACATATAAAAATTATTGTTGTAGAAATTTTTTACAGCAAGAATCCCACTAAATGCATTTTTTTTTTTTCCACACTAAAAGTCCTAAGACTTTCCACTCTGTGCTTTGTGTACACAAAGGATGGAAACACAATTTGGGGTTTTAAATGGTCCTTTCTAAGCAGAACTCCGTGCATCTTTTGTTAAAACCTCATCAAAGTACACACAGGCACACACATACATGAGGCATTGAGAAAGATAAAAACTAAACACATAAATTCTAAGACTGATGCACAACCCACTCTGAGGCTGGGAAATCTTGCCTGCTTGTCAAGGCAGGGAGAATGTTGGTGTCAGTATGTGAAGGGAATTTAGCTCTTCCTTTATTCCACTAATTCAGATACCAAACCACCAGGCAGTAGGGTGATCACTCTAGACACATTTGATATTTTTATGTTAAACGATTAAACAATAAAAGAAGATGACTACATAGGTGAGTAATACTTCATATTGGAGTGGTGAAGGCCTTTATTATCTAAATGACAAAGGCAGAAACCAAAAGGAGACACCTTTGATAGATTCGACATCAGAGAAATCAGAAACATCTATCTCAAAAGCACCACACACATGTATAAAAGCAAGGGCAACTTGATAAAATATTGTGACATGTATGATAAAAACGATTGAATTTTAAGCATGCTTATAACGCTCACACATGAAAAAGAAAAAATAAATGACAGAAAAAGTGGACAAGCACATGAACAGGCAGTTCACACAAGCAAAAAAGGCAATGACGAACAAATGAATACTCATAATATCAGCTTGCAAATTTAGGCAGGTTTGCTGTTTTTGGTGGGGTGCTGGGGATGTGGCTCCATCACATTGGTGAAGATGGAAACGAGTGACAGCGGCCACTTGCTGGGCAAGACAAGAAAACACATGTTCATTTGTTGTTGTAAATGCGTATCACTTTTCTGAAGGGCAATTTGGCTGTACTTGTCAAAACCTTGGAAAAAAGGCATACTCTTCGGTGGTGTCTAAATATTGATCAAGGTCATTCATCACAGTGTCTTTTAATGTCATGGGAAAACGTTCAAGTTGAAAATGCCCCAAACCAGTGTGTATAGTATGACAACTTTTTGGCTGAGAAAATGATAACAGTAACGATGTGCACTTTTGAAATATCTTGGTGCTATTTTGAGTTCCCACATTTCCTAATGTGCATAGAAATTTCAAGGGGGAAATAAATGTTGATTTAATAGTCTGACATGTTATGGGCTAGTGGATACGTCCTAGCAGCATCAAAAGGCAATGTGTGTGGTCCAGTAGAGAGGCCTGGCTAGCACAGGTGTTTGTATAAGCACAGACGCTGGGCTGCAGTACACAAGCAGGACGGGAGGGCGACCTCCCAGGGTGGAAGTCAGCCTCCATGTTTGGCCCCAAGCACTGTCTTCTGGAGGATACATGTACTGCCAGAGAGAAGCTTCTTTTGATTATGCTTTTTTCCTCCCTGACTTACTTTGTCTTGGAAGCATAGCTATTATAGAAGAAGCTATGCATTTAAATTTGACCTTGTATATTACCAGAATTTTGATTTTTTAAAATTTCTGTTTTAAATAAGGACAGGGATAAAAAGAGAGAAAAATCCTAAAATTTTAACCATGTCCCCACTTGTTCCATAATATAATTTCCCCATAGACCTATAAAGGCTGCATCTTAGCGTGATCTTTAGATTGCAGTATCACAGAGCGTGTAGATAAATAAGTGGATGCAAAATTGTTTTCTTGTTTAACGTCACAGTATTTTAAGAAACAAAATTTTCCTTCATTGATGTTTTGTTACATTGCTGATTTTGAGTGTTATATTCAATAACGAAAACATTAATGTGTTTTTTTTTCCCAATTGAGTAGGAAGTTGATACTATTCTGTGTTGTCAAGAAAGAATGAAGCTACATTTGGATAAGGCTATTGCCCAACTTGCGTAAGAGCTTTATGTCTCTATACAATTCAAAATCTATCGTTGAACTATACTTTCATGCCTCTCATTCAAATTTCTCTTAATTTCTTATAAGGACACACACACACGCATATACGCATTTTTTATTCAAAAGCTAAGATGATTACTTGATACCCCAGCTACTCTGATGTGATTCTTACACGTTGTACGCCTGTATCAAAATATCACATGTACCCCGTAAATGTATGTACCCACTATGTACCAGTAAACATTTTTAAAAATAATACAAATAGACACTTTGGGAAATTAAGGCAGGAAAATCGCTTGAGCCCAGGAGTTCAAGGCCAGCCTGGGCAATATAACGAGACCTCATCTCTACAGTTAAAAAATAAAAATTAGCCAGGCATGGTGGTGGGTGCCTGTGGTCCTAGCTACTTAGGAGGTTGAAGTGGGAGGATTGCTTAAGCCCAAGATGTTGAGGCTTTGAGGCTGCAGTGATGGGCTCTGGTTGTGCTACTGCACTCCAGCCTGGGCAACAGAGAGAGACTCGGTCTCAAAAAAATACTTTTTAAAAAAATAAGCACATGGAGTACTTGCTTTAATTTTTTATTTAAATAAATAATTCTGAGATGCAGAAGAATTTCTGCCTTCACTTGAATGTAACTAAGATTTCTTTTAATTCAAAAGACTGGCATTTTTTTATACAAGAGATGACTTATAGTTGTTCAGCTTTAACATTCGAAAAGTAATACTTGAGTGTTTATTTTCCATACCTCCTTAAAGATCCAGTCTCTGCGACCGGGCGCGGTGGCTCACACCTGTAATCCCAGCACTTTGGGAGGCCAAGGTGGGCGGATCACGAGGTCAGGAGATCGAGACCATCCTGGCTAACACAATGAAACCCCATCTCTACTAAAAATACAAAAAATTAGCCGGGTGCGGTGGCGGGCGCCTGTCCTCCCAGCTACTCGGGAGACTGAGGCAGGAGAATGGCGTGAATCCAGGAAGCGGAGCTTGCAGTGAGCCGAGATCGCGCCACTGCACTCCAGCCTGGGCCAGAGAGCGAGACTCCGTCTCAAAAAAAAAAAAAAAAAAAAAAAAATAGATCTGTCCTCTGCAGTGATTACACGCTTGCAATGCTCCCTGCATGCCACAGCATTGTAATTGTTAACCCATCCTATTCCTCACTAGAATACACATTCCTCCAGGGAATGGGCTCTCTTTTCTTGGCGATAGTAGATACTTAATATTTATGGTTGGGGGTGGGATGAGGAGTGAGAAGGGGTAAGAATAATAATAAAGAAGGTCTCAGGCAATGATCACAGCTGTCAGCATAGGAAAAGTATTGGCTGAGACTGTTGGTTAACATTAAGTAGAAAGATCAGTGCCATTTGCTTATGGCCACAGAAGGAAGTAGTGTCGAATATGCCACCCAATAGGAGAGGTGGTTATGTGTGTTATAAAAGCGTCCGTGCTGCCCATTTCATTTGCCCACCCTGTGCGTCAGGATCAACACCACGAAGGTTGGCAAGGTTTGTATGCTGAAATTCTCTCGAGCGGTGACTGGAAGGGTTTTTTAATTTGGAAATTGGTGAGGATAAGCAAAAAAGTAGTTGAGGATGACTGCATATGGTTTCTGCTCCCTAGGAATTTTAGAAACATGTTTAAGAGTGGTTGGAAGCATTGATTCTAGTTCCTAATTCACATTTTATTTCGTAGTCTAAAATTTGCTGCCCATCTTTTGCGTTCTTGGCCTAGAATGTTCTACCACGGAACAGCCTCATCTGATATAAATCCCTGTTACAAATCGCCTCAATACTGGCTGTATTGCAGACCTTTGCAGAAAGTTCTGTGTGTATGTACCTGTTTGGAATCTTTGTTATTGATCCTTTAAAGAACTTGGCTTTCCTTTAATACACAGTGGGTAAAATGCCTACCTCACTTCCTGGGATGGCTTCTCCAGGATTTGTGGGGGACCACTGTGCTCTGTCCAGGGCAGGTGACTAGAAGAGAGTTTATCAACTACACTTGTTTCAGAAGGAGCAATGAAACCCTCAGCTTGGATCTCAGCTTAAAATAGAATTTCATTAGGCACTCACAGGGCAGCCAAGGTCTTCCCATCTTGGGCTGTAAGACGTGTTGATGGGACGCTGCCGTAAATGCCTGCCCAAGCAGACTCTGAGGCCAGATCAGAGGGGATCAGGGCAGCCTCAGTTCTAAAGTCATAAAAATCACCCATGTTACGATATTGTGAGACCTAATGCTTACTGAGCACTTAGCATCTGCTAGGCACCTAATTATCTACCCAACAGCCTGGAAAGACGGGTATTATTACCATTAGTTCATAACTTGCCTCTGGTCAGGTTTAGCAAGTAGCAAAGATGTTTGAACTGGGGCTGTCTGATGCTGAAGCATATGGCTTTTGTTAAGATTTTAATTTCGTTAAAAATGTGTATATATTCATGGGATACAAGTGCAGTTTTGCTTCATCGATATATTGCACTGTGGTGAAATCAGGACCTTCAGAGCATCTATGACTGGAGCAACGCACATTGCAACCATCAAGAAACCTTCCAACATCCCACCTTTCTCCCACCCCTCCTTTGAGTCCCACTGTTCATCATTCCACACTCTCAAGGCATATGTTTTCTACCACTGTTCCAGCCAAGACCTGGGAGTGTGCACGAGCAGGGATTTTCACTTGAGGTGATGGGAAATAAAAGGCTGTAAAGTCTCTATTCCACCTCCCCAAGTCCCACCTCCCAAGAGGTGAACTGTAACAACAGATGCTTCATGAACGTTTCAGCCCCTTCGCTAACAGGGTCTCAGCTTAAGACAGGAAGCTTGTGGGACATCTTGGTCCCAGACCAAAGGAGAAAGGCCTTCTAGTCCTAGAATTTCAACATAATCACCTAAGGCAAGAGCCTCAGCACAGAAGTAGCAAGGGAAGGGAGCTTTTTCATTTTTCATCCTTCGCGCTTGTATACTCTTTTAGAATTCACAAAGTGCAGATCATTTGCATGCTGCTACTCTCATTTACACTTTACAAATAAGAAAAACAGCTTTGGGAGGTCAAGCGATGTGCTTGAAAGCACAGGCTAAGTGGAGGGGAACCTGCAGCTAGAATGGACTCATTCCATTCAATGCAGCCTTTACTGAGTGAATGGCTTTGCTCTACCAAAACCGTTTTTAGGTGCTGAGAAGACAGAGAAATTCCCAAGCTCATTCAGCTATCCTACTTTTTAAAATACTAGTTATCTGCCAGTGGCTCTCCACTTTTTATCTCCAGCCTAGACGTCTCTTTCAAATTCCAACAACCTCCTTCACATCTCCCATGTAGATGTTCAGTGAACACTCAAGTTTACTATGTCAACTGAACTTCCATCTTCTCCCCTAGCTTCTCCCTCCCCAGCCACCCCCCCTCCTTAGTTGATGGAATTCCATTATTCCAATGACTCAAGCTCTCTCTTTTTTTTTTCTCACTGATGTTCAATTTAATAGGATATTCTCTTGGTTCTATCTTCAAACCATATCCAGAATCTGAATACTTCTTGCTTCCTTCACTTTCATCCTCTTGGTCCAAGCTACCTTCATCTCTCACCTGAGTAACTGCAGTGGCCCCCCTAATGGTCTTCCTGCCCCCGGCAGTCTGTTCTCAGCCCAGCATCAGAATGAGGTCCTTTTAAATTGTAAGTCAATGGCCTCTAATTTTACTCGAAGGAAAACCTGACTCATTCCCATGTCCATTAGGGCCCTGCATGATCTGATTCCCCCTTTTTTATGTCTTTGCTCAGTGTCACCTGGTGAGACCTATTCTGGCCATCTTCTTTAAAATCATAACTACAGTCCTGGTCTCTTTTTTCCTGCTTTGCTTTTTAGCATTGTTCTTCAAACCACACAAATTGCCCATTCACTGGATGTGCTGTCTCCTCCCAGAAGCATGTCGGCTCCTTAGAGAAGAGATGTTGGTGTTGTCCACTGATGCATCCCAGGCTCACAGAATGGTGTCTGCCATATAGGAGGCACTCAAAAATTATTTGTCGAATGAAGTATTCCATGTGGCTCACCTGTCACCCATGCCTGCCCGCAGGGTCTGTGTGTGGTAATAAGCTGTGGGTCCCCCGTCTGTCTGGCAGTGCAGGCAAGACCATGCATCTCAGAGCTCACCGAGGCCTCTTCCTTCCAGCAGGGTGACTGCTGGAGTGTGTGAGCCTGGGGGGACCATCAATTCCTGATCTGTGTTGAGGCCCTCTCTCACTCCTGTCCTGGAGGTTAATTTTGACCTTTGGTTTTTATCTCTTGGCAAACTTCTGAGCTGTAGCATGACCACAAACCGAGGTTACCAACGGATGGCAGGAGGCTTGGCTATAAAGGTCTCATGATTTCTTGGGGATTTATATTCAAATAACGGAGAAAATGGGAGCTGAGATGTAGAAGAGAAAAAGGAAAAGGAAAAGGAAAAGGAAGGAATGGAAGGCACAGATGTGGACAGATTACTTTGAACCTGTGTCCTGTCTGGAAGACTGTGTGTGTGTTAGGAAGATGGGCCCCAGCTGGGGCTGCAGATCCCGGACCCCTGTTTATCTTCACCTGCTCTCCGCACTTCCATCCCACCCGATGAAAGGAGAAGTGTAGACATGGTGGGAGTTAGGGTCCCAGTGATGTAGATGTATGGCCATATCCAAAGAGTGCTTGTTTTGACTGAGAAATTGAACATTGTGTAAAGAGGGAGAGATGGTGAGAGCAACAGTGAGAGAGGTCCTAATATGGAAGGGCACTCATGTGTCCTTGCGGGACATTGCCACCTGAGTGTGAAGCTCCACTTCCTGACTCTGTGTTGCAGAGCTGACAGAGCATCCCAGCATGAGCTGGAGAAGGACCTGAGTGACAAACAGACAGCTTACCGGATTGACGACAAATGCCACCACCTGCGCAACACGTCAGACGGTGTCGGCTACTTCCGCGGAGTGGAGAGGGTTGATGCAACGTAAGTCAGGCACACGCCACTGCTGTGATTTTGATGTCATTTAACTCTTTCTCCTTTCAAAAGGACACAGCTTACAGGTTAAAACGGAAAGCGTGGTAAGATATCTGAAGGTGAGAAACACACCCAGCTTTTAACAAGTCTCCAGGAAGCAAGCATGTTCTTGTGGTCAGATCTTGATAATTACATCCTGAATTCTTTTATAAAGGAATATTTGTCGTTTATATTTTCTAACTATGAAAATAACCCTACCTGATGCAGAAGTCCTAGAAAAACACAGACAAGGCTGGGCACGGTGGCCCACACCTGTAATTCCTGCACTTTGGGAGGCTGAGGCGGGAGGATCAGTTGAGGTCAGGAGTTCGAGACCAGCCTGACCAACATGGTGAAACCCTGTCTCTACTAAAAATACAAAAGTTAGCCAGGCGTGGTGGTGGGCACCTGTAATCCCAGCTACTCAGGAGGCTGAGGCAGGAGAATCACTTGAACCTGGGAGGAGAGGTTGCAGTGAGCCGAGATTGTGCCACTGCACTCCAGCCTGGGTGACAGAGGGAGACTCTGTCTCAGAAAAAAAAAAAAAAAAAAAAGAGAGAGAGAGAAACACAGACAAGCCACACGTGGCCATTGTATAGCATGCCCTGGATGCTGTGGGATACAGGTTGAAAATAGTTCGATGCCTTTCCTACCACAGCTTGCTCCACTTACCCCATCAGTGGTTTCTTTGCCAGGCCCCTGGATGCAATTTTGGGCAAGATCCATGGTCTCTTCCAGCCCACTCCCTTAAAAATTTTAACTTGATTGAGGTGAAATTCACGTACCATACAATGCACCCAGTTGAAAGTTGAAATATAGCCTGTCTGAGTTTTCAGTAACATTGTTTGTAAAATAAATATTCTACTTTAACATGAATTTGCCTGGTATATGGATTACTTTTTTGAATGTACCACAATCAACCTTTTTGGTTTCAACTTCTGAGCATTTAGATTGTTTCTCATTTTTCAGGGATCAGCATAAATATGGCTGAAATGAATGTCCTCACACATACATCCTTGGATACATTGTTTCCTTATAATACATTTCTAGAAGTAGAATTTCTGGGCTTTCCACATTTGAATGACAGTCTCTTGGTTTGTGCTACCTTTTTACCCTCCAGGAAGGTTGTACTAATTTAACATTCTCATCTGTAGGATACGAGAGAAACTTTTTCTAAATATGCTCTCCAGCCTTGTTAATGATCTTTCTCTCTACTCGTGCTAATATTTCCTTAGTAGGCTGCTTTCATTAATGCTTCTTTGATTACCCTTGAGGTTGAATATTTTGTCATATGCTTATCGATGTGATGTGTGACACATTTATAATGAACCTACACATTCACGTCATTCATTAGTCCTTTTGCCCCCTGAAACTGGCAGAAGAACTAGCTTATGCTTTAGATACATAGAAAACGGATTAGCAGTAAAATAAGAAAGAATTAAGAAAAGTTTAAAATAAGCCTCACTCTGATATTTATATAATGAAGCTAGGATCAGCGACCTGGGGGTTTCTCTCTCACAGGATACATGGTTGCCTAGCGATCCTGTAGGCTGATTCATCACTCTCAGGGTTGTCTGCTCCTGCTTCTCTTTTTCAGTGTCTCAGTGCCCGAGTCCTGGGCCAAATTTACAGATGACAATATTCTCCGCTCCCAGAGTGAGCGGGCAGCTTCCGCTAAGCTAAGAGACGACACTGAAAACCTCTTGGTTGTGACTGCCAATGAGATGTGGAATCAATTCAACAAAGTGAACTTGTGTTTCACCAATCGCATTGCTGAGACTGCAGATGCTAAGAATAAGATTCAGATGCACTTAGCAAAGGTAAATCAACCACCAGTGGTACCTCTTAGCTGACCTGGACAGAGTGGTGTGCTCTGGGACCACAAATCTCTCACCACTCCCAGAGAGGCACCATAGGCATGTGACAGCTTGGCCACACAAAGCAAGAAAAATTTAAAACAGCACAAAGCATGCCATTTATTTCAGCCAGGTAGCCAGGTGTCAAAATGAAATTGGAATCCGCTGGTATTCGGAACACAAAGAAGGCACTATGCAATGAAAGGTTCTTAGTCTTTAATAGAAACAAAAATATTATTATTAAAGTTTAATGAATCACTGTATATAACTAGGAAGTGAATTTATTATTAGAACATATGGCAGAAATGTCTTCTGTTAAATTATTTCAGACCCCTTTTCTGTAATACAAAACCAAATACAGGAAACTGTTAGGTAGTTCAAAGTGTTTCTGATATTGAAAAATTTTAAGTGCTCTAAGCATAAGAGTTTTACAATGACTATAAAAAGAAGGAGTACAGCAGAATTTGTATGTTTCAAGATAAACGAGGAGCTCTTTCTTTCCTTAATATCGGTCTTGGAGCTCTTACTGTTTTTGTGGATTATGCTGAATATAGTTTGTTGTGTCTTTTTAAAAAAATTGACAAAAAATAATTGTACATATTCATGGGTGGACAGTGATGTTTTGATACATTTAATGTATGGTGATCAGGCCAGGGTAACGAGCAAGCATATCCATCCTCTCAAACACCGATCATTTCTTTTTGTTAGGAAACATGCAATATCCTTCCTCTAGCTATTTGAAACGATATAATGTATTGATGTTACCTATAGTAAAAAAAAATATGGAACGTTTCATGAATTTGCACGTCATCCTTGCTCAGGGGCCATGCCAACCTTCTCTGTATTGCTCCAATTTTAGTATATGTGCTGCTGAAGCAAGCAATGTTGTTTCTTATTTTTAAGAACCTTGAAGCATGAGCTATGTTGCCTACGATGGTTTTACCCAGTTGAGGGAACCACATTTTCTCAGGCTGCAACCATTTACCTTTCCTTCTCGTGGTGCCTGCTTTAGGCGACGAATATTAATTGAGCCAGACAGTGTGCTCCACGCTGTGAAAGGTGGAGAGAAGCATCAAATGTAGTTTTTGTTCTGAGGAAGTTTACATTACAGAGAAGAAATACTTGCATATGAAAAGCTCATAAACAATATGAATAGAATATTGCAAATAGTGATGATCAAATAACAAATACAAAACTGTTTTTGGGATTTGGAGGGAGAAGGGAACATTCCAGGTGGGGCCACATCTTGAAGAAAGCCTTGGAGACAGCAAATCAGAGGATGAGTTGAGGTCTGTCAAGAGACTGGTGTGTGACTGGTGTAGATGGTTTCTGTCCTGGGAGAGGAACGTGGAAAAGTAGGTTGACGACAGTTTGTAGAAGACATTGATGAGAAGGTTAATGGGGTCAGACGCTACGAATTGTAAGAAGACATTCTAAAGGCCTTTTAGAAGGCTGGTGTGACAGAGTTCCTTCTTCAACAAATTTTTATTCACTGTTATGTTAGTTTGCCAGGGCTGCCCTAACTCAAAGTACCATAGACTGTGTGGCTTAAGCAGTAGAAATTAATTTTCTCACTGGAGAGAGAGAAAATTAATTAACGGAGGCTGGAAGTTTGAGATCCAGGTGCGGGGCAGGATTGGTTTTCTCTGAGGCCTCTCTCATCAGCTTATAGATGGCCACTTTCTCCCTGTGTCTCCACATCATCTTCCCTCTGTGTGTGTCTGTGTCCAAATTTCCTCTGCTTATGAAGACACCAAAGTTGTATCGGATTAGGGCCACCCTAACCACCTCATTTAACTTAATCACCCCCACAGAGACACTGTCTCCAAATATGGTCATCTTCCAAGGCACTGGGGATTCGTACTTCAACATAGGAATTTTGGGGGAAGAGGCACTCTTCAGCCCTAACAGGTACTCTCAAGGTATGGTGCTAGGCACTCAGGGATGTACATATGTCTCATGTCTTAAGAGACGAGACATGCACATAGAAAACAGGAAGTTGCATTAGAAAGGTGCAGAAAGAACTTGGAAACACAGATGAAATGTGAACACAGTTTACAAGAAGGAGCAGTTGTTTCCACTGGCAAGAGATCAGGATGGTTTCATGGAGCACATAGTATCTGAAGAAGGCCTTAGTGACAGAAACAGGGAAATGATTTTTATCTTGGGAGAGAGATCAAAGCTCAAGTGACAGATTGAAGAGTGCCTGGATTGCACAAGTGCTAAATCTGTGATTGCATGAGGTCTCTGTAGTGTAGAAAGGATACTGCACAGACATCACCCAAGGACAAAGCCTTGCACTGGAAGGGAATGAGGAGTAGTTGGAAAGGAGGGAGTTGGAACAACACTTGGCCAGAGAAAACAAGATGAGGGTCTCGAGGAGAGGGAGGTATCAGAGAGGTCTCGATGTCGACTTTGAAACTGAAGTTTCATGACAGCAGCTAGGGCCAGAGACAGAATCCAGGGGCCACTGGGAGACGAGGTGGGTGGGAAGTAAAGGGAGTGGGCACAGCCATGGTTGAATACATTTGGCAGAGGACTCAGTTGGGACTGGATGGGAGAGTGGTGGTAAAAACATAGGGTTTCAAAAAAAAAAAAAAAAAGATGATTCTTGGTTGTATCTCCAGGCCATGGAAGGGAACCCAGGATGAGGGACAATAATGGGGAGGATGTAGAGTTACGGGAGTGCAGAGATCAAGATGTGAGGAGAAGGGAGGCTTTTCAGAGCATAGGACAGGGACTCTCTTTACAGAGAAAGAGGAGGTAGAACCAAGGAGGGAGCCATGTTTACGCAGTTTGGGGGAGTGGCCTCTTTAAGAGAAAACGAATACAAAATCAGGAATACAAAACTGCCAGTATTCCTCTGTTGTAAGTAAGGTACCCTGAAGCTTAAGCCTGATTCGCTGCAAGGACAATCCTCTGGGAGGAGGAAAGCAATGCTCAAGTTGGTAGGAAGAGAAAGTGGGAAGAGACGCATGGACATATGGATGTGAGGAGGGAGGTCAGGGCCACTCAAAGCCTCACTTTTACCAGAACACAGATGTGTGCTGGTCAGTAATTAACAATGGCCATTGGGGGTGGCATGCAGGGAGCCCTTGATTTGTAGTATTTGCCAATTTCTGTGGTTGAAATACTCCCACTGTGGCTGATTTCCAGCTACCAAAATGAGGTCACTGAGTCTGGGGTTGGGGAGAGAGGCGCCGCCCACTCTCCAGAGCAGGTGCATGCCAGCTCCAGTGAGACACGTGGGTTCCCTGGGGCAGGGCTGGGACGGACAGATGGTCTTGGTGAAGCGACCTCCTCATCAGCGAGGTCGAGGCAGGTGCTGGGCATGGAGTGGACAGGCAAGAGGTGGGAGGTGGGTTGTTGAAGGGACCGCACCAAAGCTTCAGGCAGTTGCTTCTCTTTGTCACAGACCCTGCAGGAGATTTTCCAGACTGAAATGACCATAGAATCCATCAAGAAGGCCATCAAGGACAAGACTGCCTTCCTGAAGGTGGCTCAGACCAGACTGGACGAGCGCACAAGGCGGCCGAACATTGAGTTGTGCCGAGACATGGCTCAGCTACGGTAAGGTGGGAGGGGACGGCTCGGGGCTCGCTCGGAGGGCCACCAGACTGACTGTGGCGCTGGGCTCTCTAGAAAGCTGCTTTCTGCCCATACACATCGTGTAGGAGCCTTCTGTGAGAATGGTAGCAATGGGGAGATGTTCAATGGGGAAGAGTTTCAGTGTGGGATGATGAAACAGTCCTGCAGGGGGATGGCGGTGACGGTTGCACCAACAGTGTGAATTTGTTAATGCCACTGATCTGTACACTTAAGATTGGTTAAAGTTTTATGTGGTGTGTATTTTACCACAAATCCTTAAAAAAGGAAGGGACATCAACACTGCACACACAAAAAGTGCTATTAAGCATTTAACTCATTCAGGGAGGCAGCGTGGTGTTTGGGTTCTTTTGCACGTCCTTGGAGTTTCTAGAACTCCTGTCTTATAAGCAGCAGTTTGTGACTTTCTGTGTAGTTCTCAGCATGGGGGACTCGACAGAAAAGGGACTTTCAGTGCCAATTCCACTGACCCCTATCTACTCATTTGCTGTCTGTGTGACTGAGGGTCTCATTTAAGTTTACTTCAGTGTGTTTCATTCTCAGTAGAAATCAAAGCCAGCTGGTCTTCATCGAGCACAGCTCCTATATATATACAGCAGGAGGAATCTGACCCCACAGTTTTATCTACCAAACACTACATGAGTTTTATTATTATTTTCACTTTGAAGATTCATTTTGGGATGGACTTGTAAGGGACTGGCCAAGATTCCCTCCCCACCCCTGCCACAATCTGGCTTCATTTCCAATTTCCCAATACCTGTGAGTCTGCCTTTTCTTTCTGGATTTCATCATTGCTGTTCTTAAGCCTTAAAATGCTCCGTGCAGAAGTAAATCAACTTGATAGCAACTGGAGGAGCCAAGTGGCAGTGCATGAACTCCAGAAGCCTTTCTGGTGCAGTGGGGGAGATGCCACTCGCTCTGCTTCCATGATAAAATTCTCTTATCTTGAAGGATTGATCCTAAGGATAAAATAAAGAAATAAATGGTGGTTTGAGACAGTGGATTTCCTGAAATGGAAGGAAGGGGGATCTTGTGAGGCCAACATTGATAATAATAATAATAAAGACAATGATGGCGATAATCAATGCAATGATAATAATAGCTGCTACCATCTCTTAATCTGACTCTATGCCGAGCACTGCCCTGAGCACTTTATACTATCTCATTCATTACCTTCATATTACAAGTGAGGAAACTGAGGCAGGAGTGGGTGAGTGGCTTGGCCCAGGCCACATTTAGTGGTAAGAGAGAGCTGCAGTTTGAATCTTTGCCTGTCTCACAGAGTTCTATTCCACCAAGCCATTTGCTTCTCCTTCTCCTGTCTTTTACGTCGTGTAATGCTTTTACCACTCCCCTGTCAGGTATCTGATCCCCTGTCAGGTATCTGATCTCATTTGAGAAGAGCTGGCAAAGTAAAGGCTGCATCCTCATCTCTTTCTCACACAGAGGATGAAACTGAGGGTCACAGAGGAGATCATTATGATAAAACACCTTACATATGTAGCACGCATGTTGTCTGCGTTGAGTGCCATGAAGCGTGCTTTAGGTTGTACGCACATGATCTTCATTTCCAGGATGAGCTGCATTTCTCCTGGTGGAGCTGTTATCTAAGCCGTAGCCACAGAGGAGGTCCCTCAGGCTGCATATTTTTCAAAGTGGGTTCCATAGAGCCCCTCTTCATGCACAGCTCGTTATTCAGGATAAGCAGCTCTCCACTCCAGAGACTAGATGGGCCCCTAGACAGCCAGCTGGAGGCACCTCTCTGCTTTAGAAGAACCCAGCAGTGAGTGCACACCCACTTGGCCTATTAGGATTAGATCACCAGTTTTGACTTTATGTAAATGTTATTAGGAGAAGCTGAGCTGATGTTTCATTCTCCAAAAATCTCTGCAGAGTTATCAAAAGTGGAGATGGGAACAAATAAATTGTTTATACTGCCGTTAGACAAACACAGGGTTGCTTTTAAAATGGGTTTTGGGTAGTGGTCTAAGAGGACTTTAGAATTATCAAACAATGAGGCATTCACAGCTTCTCCTCAGGAGCTGAATGATTTTTACTCTTGTTTTTTTTTCCTTTTCCTGGCTATACAGAATTTGCTTTTCTTTCACTTCCTGCCGACTTCACAGTATGTCTATTTCCTCTGCTCCTTCACTGACTTTTGAACAAAACCTACTTTTGTTTCCGTCAAGTTTTCTTGTTAAAATATCTTTGCCAAAAATCTTTAGGATTATTACTGGGGGAGGGGATTACTTTCCTTCTTAAATGGATCATTCTGAAAGCAGCCCTTTGGCGGTCTAGATTTAGAAAAACTAAAGATCATAAACTCAGGGGAGTGGGGACTGAGAAAAATTGCTGTTTTCATTTCAAGACTTTTATTTAAAAATGGTCTAAACGAGTTATTTCAAAAGTGATTCTAAACATTCTTGGCATTTTTGGTGGCAGGTCAGACAGACCAGGCTCTGCTCTACTTAAATAATCTATCTATCCATCCACACATATATTTATATATATTAGTTTTAACATATATATATATACACACACACACACTGTGGTAGCTTTATTTGTATTTGAATGCAAGATGTTTTGTAGTTCTGTAATTCCAAAAAAAAAAAAAAAAAAAAGAAGAAAGAGAAAGAGTGACTCCAGCAGAACAGCTCTCTGCAATCAGCCAAGAACAAGGAAACTGGGAGTGAAATAGGGCCTTGAAGATGATGAACAATATATTTCTAATTAACGCTGAGGGAAGTGGAAGTGTGTTATTCCCTAGCTGTGTCCATGCAGCAGTGTGAAAACAAATACTCTAGCTGCCTACGTTCTACGTCTCTTGAATTATTATTACTATTATTATTATTTTAGCGTTAATGTTTTGACATGTACATTTTCAAAACTTCCCTCCCAGATAAAATTTCCACTAGGCTCGTATTTGGTTGAAAGGAGTAAAGACTCATATATCATCCTACTCTGTTTCCTATGTTGGGGTTCAGGGTTCCTGTTGAAGCCAGGGAGGGTGGGAGGCAAGAGGCAGGCCCCCTGTGTTTGTAAACAATCCACCACCAAAAATCCCATTACCAGCCAGCTGCAGCAGCCTCGCCGAAGATCTGTTTCTTTGCTGGTGATGTTTTATGGGATCTTTAAAGAGCCTTTCTTTTCAAATTAAATTTGACCTAAACAATAACAAGAAATTTGCTTTCTGATGAGTTCTCAGATTTAGTGTTTACCGTTCCCAGACAAAACCAAACTTTGGCACTTAAGCTTTAATTCTTCCTCCCCGCATTGGAAAGCAGAAGACAGTAGAGCTTGTAAGACGAAAGCGTTGCACAGCGTGGACATGTTCCCAGGGCCTGTTGTTGCTTCAGTGAGCACGCGTGGGGGCCTTTCCCAGCGCCTTCCTCTTCTTAGGCCACCTACAAGTGGCTTGGAAGGGAATGCTCTAGGCTCCGTCCTGCCTTTCCTTCCTTTTTATTGCCTTGGGTCTGGGTCTTTTTCTTAGTAGATTCCATGGATTCAGACCTTTGGGCAATTCCCTACCTCCCAAGACGTCCTCCGTTTCACCGAGGGCATGAAAGTTGGTCTTCACCCGATAAGTAATTTTTGCACACCTGTATTTTTGCAGGAGGGGCTGTGGACGCAGCCCTGGGCAAGGCCAGCAGATGCTGCAAGCAGACAATCACAAGACCCTGAGTGCCGTAAAAGGCTTGGTCCTCTTGGAAGTCATAACACAGGGCAGCAGATGGTTTCCGGGTTAAGGGAGGGACTTCCGGAAGAAGTGTTAGTTCACCTAGGATTTGAGAAGGGGATAAATTAGCGGGATGAAGAATGGGTTAAGAGCATTCTGAGCTTGGGGGACAGCAAGAGTGAAGGACTTGAGGTCCGAGAAATTGCAACCATATTCCAGGAAGTGTCTGCAGATGATGAGATGGGTCTTCCCGGGTCTCTGCTTCTACTCTTCTGTCTCAAGGCACTGAGAGCGGAAAGGGGCCAGGAAATGGGACCTAGTTTCTTATTATGGCCACTGAAGCTCTGTATTTCCTTCTTAGCTTTCTGGATAACCAGGTACAGCTTACAAACACATGTGGGCCCTGTGTCGAGGAGAGGGCAGCATATGAACCCCCGGGCTCTATTTCCTAGTCTGTAAAACAAGAAAGTTGGGCTTGGAGACCTCTCTAACTTTGTTTTCTAGTTGTGAATTTCTGTGAAACTATAGACTTGCCTTAGAATAATGATTTTAAAATGGTCTGGATATTTTTCTATAATTATGAAATCCTTTTCTGTCTCCTGGGACATCTACATTCCCATTGGCTGATTGTCACCATTCTCTTTATATTTCTTTATATTTTATTAATTTCATGCACCCCTCATTTGCTGATAAATGTATCCTAAAGTAAAGAAAACGTGAGCTTTGCATCACTGGTTACAATGTGATGTACTTGGAGTTGCGTAAGCTACAGACGTGTGACCTCTGCTAACCTAACCATGCTGATTCCCTTATGCTGCAGCCTTGTTAACGAGGTACACGAGGTTGACGACACCATCCAGACCCTGCAGCAGCGCCTGAGGGATGCAGAGGACACCCTGCAGTCGCTGGTCCACACCAAAGCCACCCTCGAGCATGACCTGGCTGTCAAAGCCAATTCCCTGTACATCGACCAGGAAAAATGCATGAGCATGCGCAAGAGCTACCCCAACACCCTCCGGCTGGTCGGCTTCTGCTAGGGAGCCCACCGGCTGTGGTTTTGATACCCCTAAGTTAAGGCTGAGCCAGAGCACTGTCTCAGCATTTGAACCGAGTGCTAATATAGTCACTTATTAAAGGATTATGCTGATGGAAATGTACCAACGTCCTGTCTCAGAAAGCCTTTTGTTCGAATCCAAACCTTAATTTTCTACTATTTACTAGGCGTCTGGGTTACGGGAAGGATATGAAGAAATATAATCAATCTAGTAGAGAAGGTAAAAATGATAACTGGTGTGATTCTTGTCATTCTGTGTGTAATCCAAATGGACTGGAAAGGAGGACTGTATTCTCTCAGAGGCAGTCAGGAATCATGAAGAAGGTGGTTTCTGAGTTTTGCTTTAAAGGATCCATAGTGAGAAGGGGAAAGGCCATTGGGCATGAGGTAGTTGGGGTAATTTGATCAAAAACAAAGGTAGAGAAATACAGAGTGCCTTTGGAACAATAGTAGGTAGGGCCAACTTGGCTGTGATTCATAATGCATAATTCTTAATGTGTTCTGCACGTCTCTTTTTGTTCCACTCTCATCTCTCCAGTTCAAACTTTCATTACTTGAGCATTGCTTTCATAAAGCCATTTCCATGCTCAGAGATACTCATCAGTTCCCCAGCCCCTGAACCTGGAGTTGAACACCCCCTGCCCCACCTCTCCAGGCACCTCGTATTTCTTCATATGTGACACTTTTGTCCTATGTGCTGACTATATATTCTTTATATGTTACTTTACATTTTGCTTATGGTCTTTTTAAAGTACAGAAGTAAAAATATGTCAGTGTTTTCTGTATGATTTATGCCTTTGGAATTATGCTCAGAAAGCACTTCTGTATCCTAAGATAATGTATTTATAATTTATTCTAATTCTTTTGTATGTTTAAAAGTGGCATTTAATCACCTGGAATGTATGTTTCGATGGTGTAGAAAGCATGCTAGTGTTGAATCCTTTTGGTCTGGCAGCTCGGGAATGGGAAGATGAACCAGGAGGGGAGCAAGGTTTTCTTTCTTTTCTTTCCTATTTCTCACACTTGTGTGTCTCTCTCTCTTATTAGCATTTCTCTCTGTATCCTTGTGTTCTCCTTGCTCTGCCTTAACCACTGTCCATTAACCCCAACTCCATTTCCTTCTCTCTCTCTGTTTCTTAAAAGTGTTTTAAGACCTTGGTTAGTCAATTCCACAAATCATCTCAGAACGCCAGAAGAACGGACGTCCAGATGAGAATCTTGTATTGGGGTTGTGCTGTGGTCTCAGTATATCATTTTAGAAATCAAATTGTAGGTTTAGTTGTTCTGTTTTTGCCTCTAATGGAAACAAAGGTATATAAATGCCACTAAAATTTTTAGCAATGAGAGTAACCAAATGTTGGTAGTTACGACTTTTAGACAATAGCAGGAATAAACTTAAATCCAGCATATCTCTTATTTGTTATGTGTCTGGGGTAAAACCTTTCTGACTTTTTTCATGAACTATATTTTTGTCTTTAGGAATATATGCTTATGTAGTCCTTTTACTGAAGCATATATATTCCTGGCATTACAAGACTGTGATGGGAAGGAAATGTAATTGAGACATAGCAAAGTTTTTTTTTGTTATTTTGGTAAACCGTGGGCAAGACTAAATTCCACAAATAAACATTTGGTTTCTCATCTAAAATACTGCAGCTACTCCAGGAGGGTAAATATTCTAATGCTGAAGCCCAAGAGCTCCAAGGCTTAGAAGCGTGGTCCTGTTTAAGAATCTTAGGACTACAAATACTGGCACGTGATCTGGCTTTATTTATTTAGGCCCAAACTATCTTTAATATCATGTGGCTTTAAGAAGGGCTGCTGGAATGTCAAAGGCTTCCACTTACCCAAGCATCATTCAGATTTAGAAATGTGTGTAATTGCCCCTAAATAACCGAGTCGGCTATAATTTTAGTAATTTCCATTTATGTCTCTGGAGAGTGTTGTCATAAACACCTCACCTGGCACTTTGGAGTCCTGAGTTCGTGCTGTAAATAGCTGAAGTGTGGGGTCTGGTTTTAGGTTATAATTTTTGTTTTGCACCAGAAACAGGGGCGGATTCCTTCCCTTTGTGTGCAGGGCTGACCCAAAGCACAAAGGAGGACGTGAAGCTGCTGCTCATCTTTGTGGCTGAGTCTTCCCTTGCAGCCTTCCTCCTTCTAGCCCTGGCCCTGAAGCTGTTCCCAGCAGGGCTGGATTCACTATTGGCTCCAACTGCTAAGACCGGCCTTCTATGCAGAGTGCTCTGATGGTATTATCTGAGCTCTATATTAATATATATGGTCTGATAAGTATTCATGCATTAATGGGGAAAATAAACAATACTCAATCTCTTCCCCAGGGATGGTGAATCCATTCACCTTGGAGGCCAGCCCTAGACCACTGGGACTGTTTATTTGGAAGGCTGAGTTGAGAAGGATCCTGAGAGGTCAATAGATAGTGCCACATGAAGTGGGTGCTGTGGCTCACGCCTATACTCCCAGCACTTTGGGAGGCTGAGGCAGGAGGATTGCTTGAGGCCAAGAGTTCAGGACCAGCCTGGTTAACATGGGGAGACACCATCTCTCTACAAAATAAAAAGAATTAACCAGGCATGGTGGCACACACCTGTGGTCCAAGCTACTTGAGGGCCTGAGGTGAGAGAATCACTTGTGACCAGAACGTTGAGGCTGTAGTGAGCTGTGATCATGCTACTGCACTCCAGCCTGGGCTACAGAATGAGACATGTCTCAAAAAAAAAAGACAGTTCCATCTGCAGGGAATCTAGAATGGGGAAGTGGCTGCATACATTCCCTCATCCCTCTCTCTAAACAGCTCTGAATTCTTTCTCAGCTCAGTTAGATCCTTGGCTTTCAATATCAGAAGGATCTGTCTTGCGACCTCTGGCTCATTCCTACAGGACCTTCCCATTTGCTAATTTTGCTAGGAGCCAGAAAGAGACCCTTTCTGCAGCCCACTTTTTCGTTTTAGCAAGACAAGATCCCTACATATATCACCATGACTCCTGAACAACTCAGATGGCCTCATGGTAGAGTGAAGGGGGAGCTTATTGGCAACAGGGAGCTTTTCATAGCTATTCTAAATAATATCTCCTTGTGTATGCATAGGGCTGTGGGAACCATAAAAATAACTTTTATTTTGCAATTACTTTTTTTCCCTCCCTGTAAAGTAAAGGTTAATTTTAAGGTGATGTGAAATCTTTGGACTAAGTTTCAACATTCCTGTCTTTGGCATTTTAACCCTGCAGTCACTCAGACATAAGAACGCCTTCCCTACTTCCATTAAAATGGTGCCCTGCTTGCCCAAGAACCTGCTCTTTAGTAAAACCTGCACATTTTCTGATAATGAAAATCTGTATCTGTATTGAGGGCCACCCATTTATTTGTGACAAGCGGGTTGTCTTCATCTCTCAACCCCAGTGCTCTTCATGGGTATAGCAAAGACAGGGGGCTCCTGGAGAGATGGGAGGACAGGCAATCTGAGAGGAAAATAATAAGGCAGGTCCACACACAACACCCATGAGAACCACATGTAGCACAGTCTGACAGATTAACACATTGGTGCTTTGTGGCAGTGCTGGAAGGGGCGACCAAATTTCCCAGTTTCCTAAGGTAGATATTATAGATATTGGTCAGCCCCTGTGGGAAAATAACTGTGCCTCCAAATATTCATGTCCTTGTGAAGCCTTCCCTCCTTGAATATAGGCAGACCCTGTGATCACTTGAACCAAGAGAGTGCAGTGGAAGTAACATTGTGTCAATTCTAGGTCTAGGCTTTAAGAAGACCTGGAAGCTTCTGCTTTTGGAAGCTAGCTGCCATGTAAGAAGTCTGACTAGCCTGAGACCACCATGCTGTGAGGAAGCCTAAGCAGCCCATGGAGAGGCTCCCCAGCCAACAGCCCTAGAGGAGTTCTCAGGCTAGGCAGGCACCAACTGGCAGCCATGGGAGTGAGGCCATTTGGGATCTTCCCACTCTCCTAGTGCCCCAGCTGATACCATGTGAGACAGAAGAGCTGCCCAGTCAACCCACAGAATCTCAAGAAAGAATATATTGTTGTCTTAAACTACTAAGTTCTTAGGTAATTTGTTATGTAACAATAGACAACCAAAGTTTTCACTGGATTCTCAGAAGTCAAATTCCTGGAGAGGAAGGAAATCTGACATTTGTGGAGTGCTTACTGTGATCCCATCATATAACATGACAATCTTCTGAGTCCTCTTGTCTGATGCCAGGATGTGAGCTCTTAACTACCACGCTATACTGTTAGTTGGTCTCTGAGAGGAGGGTAATCCCAGACAGTGGTTCTCTTCTTTGCAACAACAAAAAATGTGTAAAATGATTGTATTATTGGAATTAGAACTGAGGACAGAGGCATTTAAGACATTTTTACTTTTGGAAAATGTGTATAAAATTAAAACATGAGTGGGATCCAGCTTCTGTGTCATTGATCCTATCTTGAGATTGACACATGTAATGATAATGATAGTCAATTTTCCTGAGCAGAAGAACTGCACGTGTATCGTTTCAACATCACGGGTAAGGTACATACATTTAATGATTTATATTCTAAAATGGGAAAATTGAGACTTAGGAAAGGAAAATAACCCAAAGCCAAACAGGGGCAAATTTCAGAGTCAGGAGTTAAACTCAGATAAGCTTGCTTCCAAAGCTCTGTGCTGTAATCCTACAGTGCCTTCTTCTAAGCTGTTTAGAATCAATGAGACATCCTCAAAAGTTGTGTGTTTAAAGGAAAATTATTTTTAAACCAATGTTTTAATATCCCAATAGATATTCATGAAGGTGTAATATTTTATTATAAATAATCAATACCATCAGTACCATAAATTTTACCATAATATTGCCAAGACTTAGCTTTAAACTTCTTTGATTCTATCTTTAAGTAGAATTTAAGTATAAGAGCTGAGTATCTATGTGCTCTCTTTTTTCAGATAGAGAAAACAATTCCCTGACAATTTGATAAAAGGTATATGGAGGTTAGTCCCACATCAGTGTCAATGGGTATTGCCAACAGGATGCTAAAAGAGATTGAGTGAGGTACAATTATTTGATTTCCAGAACTCTGTCATTGAAAACCAACACTGGTAGC